AAATAGAAAGAAAAAAGAAGAAGATTGATCAGAATTATATCAAACAAGATTATATGTCAGAAGAAAATAAACACATAAGACAATGGTATCATACAAAAGTACCATTACAATTAAGAGAAATATTACAAGCAAAATATAATAAATTTCTTAAAAAAGAAAAAGAAACAGAAGGATATTTTCAATGGTTGATAAGCAATTATCAACATAAACTCCATATCCCTTCATTTGATAAACTCCAGACATTGGAAGAAAAAACATATCTAAGTACTGCTGGTACTACAACTGCTAGTACACATCCACCTGCAAAAAGCATAATACTCAAGGCAGTCATCCCATCAAAAGATGAACCACCACAACCTCAATCAATGTATGATATAATTGCTACTCCATATAAAATCTTACCTAAAGAACTTGGTAAGAAACAGGAATTAATACCTCATATAGTAGAACAAAATAATTATACAAATTTGTATATGCAATCTTTAGGAAAGCAAGCAGAAAGAATAGAAAGGTTAGTTTCAGCAGAAAAAACCCCGACTATTCCTACTACTATTCTTAAAGCAGTTTTGTTCAAACCACCTCCAAAATTGAATAAAAACAAATTTCATATAGGAGATAATAATAAATCCCTGATGGATCAATTAATAGCAAAATTATCACAACTTGATATAAAGGGAATACCTTCTCCTCAAATTAGTATTCCTAAACCAATTACACCTATTATAACTAGTCCCCTACCTGATCTTCAGATAAAGGAAAGGCTAAAATCCCAGAGCATGACACTATGATGCTCCAAGAAATAGAACCAAAAATTGAAGATACAATAGAAAACCAAGAAAATGCTTTCATGGATACTACACCTATTGATTTGAATAGAATAGCCTATGGAAAGAATTGGAAACCAATAACAGCTTTACCATATCACAAGAGACCAACTCCTGTGGATATTCAATTAGAAGAGGATCTAATACAACAAGTCATATCTTATTCAGGGAGATCAATAGTTAATTGGTCAATAGATGGTTTATCAGATTTAAAAATATTGGATGTCATGAGACACATGACAATGTTTGCATCTGCAAATAAAATGACAGGCAACCTAGATCAAGAAGTTGCCAAAGCAATAGTGAATGGTTTTACTGGCTGGTTAAGAGGCTGGTGGGATTTTTATGTCGATGATGAAACCAAAAATAGGATCCTAACCAATACAAGGAAATAGACCGCCAGAAATGAACAAAATCAAGAAATAATATACACACTGAAAGTGATGCAGTGAATACCCTCATATATACCATTACACTTCACTTTGTAGGCAGTACATCACTGCTAGCAGCAAGAGCAAAGGATCTGCTCTCTAACTTACGTTGTCCTACATTATCCCATTACAAGTGGTATAAAGATGTATTTTTCTCAAGATTATTAATAAGAGAAGATTGTCAATTAGATCATTGGAAAGAGAAATTCATATCAGGATTACCATATCTCTTCGCAGAAAAAGTCAAAGAAAGACTGCGAAAGAAAAATAATGGAATCATCATATATTCATCTTATACACTCGGAGAACTCTCCGCAGAAATATTTGAACAAGAAAGCAGAAACAGGAAAACGGAAATCAAAACTACTTACTGTGTGCATATACAGTAACTGGAGAATAACTTCCAGTAGTGTGGACAGTATGAAGGTAACGAAGTAATATTGCAATCACACATTTTGAAAGAGAAAAGATATTGAAGCTATGAGGTCAAGATAGCTTGCTGATATTGAAACAAAGAGAGAGAGAGTTATAGCGAAACCTGTTACTGGGAAAGAAGACAACAACTCTGAGAAGAGGGAAGGTGCTACCTGAAACTTTGTGACGACTTCGAAAGGATGGTAGAAGAGTAGATCTAGCTTTGAGATAAGAAGAAGCTGAAGAGAAAAGGAGAGAAGTGGAGCAGAGGAGAGAGAGACCTCTGGAAAGAGGTGAGAGCTAAAGGAACAGAGGGAATAGACGACCTTAGGGTTTTTAGAAGAGAGAAAGAAGACGGGGGAAGACCTGATGAATGAAAAGGGTTCGTCCCCTTTTATAGATGAGCTTGCTTAGGGGAGAAGCAAGTGTCGGTAGAAGAGGACAAAAGGGATAAAGCAAATGTCGGTGAAAATGGACAAAAAGAAAAGAAAGACAAGACTAAAAGAAAAGTGGCTACAGTGCCAATAGCTACAGTGCCAAGCGGCTACAGTGTAAAGCAACGAAGTGGCTACAGTATTTTTGTCTTTTTCTTTATGGTGGCTACAGTAAAAGCATCTTGAATTGTCTTTGCTTGTCGTGTTGTGTCAGTGATTACTGTTCCTGATGCTTTGTGTTGGTTGATGAAGGTGACTGCTTCGGTGGAGCGTCGGAGGAGATAGTGACAGCGTCGGTGGAGACTGTGCTGATAATATAGTCACCTGGTCATATGTATGGTGATAATATCTTGGAATCTTTTGTCAGTAACTATTTTGATTCTAGAATATTCTTCAGGGTCTCTGACTGAATTCATCCGGATCATCTTCTTCGGGATCAGTTTCTTCTTCCGGATCTTCCATAGGGAGATTGAGGTATTGATTGGTATTTAAGGGAGATGATTGTACTGTTTCTTCAGAGGAGACTGGCTTTCTCCCTGCTTCAGCAAATATTTCTTTCATCTATTTTTCTAATGTTTCTTTGGAGGCATTAGGGTTTGATTGAAGCATATTTCTTAGGTATGTGGGAAAATCAAAAGAAGTATTGGCTGTATTCTGGCTTGGTGGTTTTTCCAGGGTTTTCTCAGGTATTCTTTTTGGAGTTAGTGATGATGGGTCTATATTGAATATGTCCCACCACTTAACCGAAATGGTCTTACCAAGTCTAGGGATATATGAGTAATCAGAGGTGGTATCAGGGGAGATAGAATACTCCCATTTCATTATCCAGGGTATTTGGTATAAGGCCATGAAATATAGGTGAATGTCTATAGTATTTTCACTCTGGTTATATTCTTGGAACTTTTCCTGCACTGTTTGGAAAGCAGGAGGTAAAATTTGAGAAGTTGAACCCCACACAAAAAACCAGTTTTTAAACCAGGTGGAGAATCTTTCGAAAACAGGTAGTCTGAACTGGATGTACCAGCTATGAGTATAATTGGGATTTTGATAATAGAAAAATTTATGCCATGCCTCAATGTATTCGGCATACTTGAAATATTTATATGAAAAATCTGGGTTATGAAGTTTTTTCCCATGCGCGGGATTGCAACCCCACTCTTCATAGGAAAGTATATTTTTAATTTGGACCTTAGAATATGCAATGGTCCTTGCGTTCTGTTGGTAGTAATGGACAACAGATATGGATCCTGTTTCCATCAATATTGCTTCAAAATATTCTCTTGTTTTAACCCCATTGGAAGGGTTAAGATGATTGAGCAGATAAAGAGCAGCAAGTTTTATGGGCTCAGTATTTATATGTTTCTCATCGATAGTAATATCCATGAGATAGGCT